TCAACCTCAGGAAAATATCACCAGAGAAAAGACCTTTGCAATTCACCTTATGTATGCCCCTCATGATTTTATAAATCTCGATAGCGTCACCACTCAACCTCCTACTTTGAAAAATATCCCAGCCTATCCAGCCTCTCCTTCTAACTCAAACTATCCAGTCCCGGCAACATCCTGGTAAATCTTTTCTGAACTTTCTCCAATTTAGTGATATAATTTCGATAGCAGGTTGACCAGAACTGTACTCCAAAATTGGCCTCACTAATGTCCTGTACAACCTCAACATGACAGCCCTACTCCTATACTCAAAGATCTAAGCAAAGAAGGCAAGCGCGCCAATACCTTCCTAACCACACTGTCGACCTGTGATGCAACTGTCAAAGAACCATGTACCTGAACTCTTAGGTCTGTCTGTTCGACAACACTACCCAGGGCCCTACCTTATTAACTGTATTAGTCCTGCCCTTGTCTCTTTTACCAAAATGCAATACCTCGCATTTATCCAAATTAAACTCAATCTGCCACTCCTCAGCCCATTTGTCCAGTTGATCAAGATCCTTTTGTAATCTGAGATAACCTTCTTCACAGTCGACTATACCACTGGTTTTGGCATCATCTGCAAACTTCCTAACCATGCCTGCTAAACTCTCATCCAAATTATTTACATAAATGACAAACAAAAGCAGACTTAAGTTGGTTGTTCTTTTGACTCCAGTTCGATATGCCACCTTTCCCTTGCTACATCATTATTCATCTCATACTTTCTGGAAGTTGCCAAGCAAAATTTTAAGAGATAAACATGAAAGGTAACGTTTAATGTACAACAGATGCTAAAGCAAAATCTAGGTCAGTAACATGATCTCACGTCAATTCTAGTCATGCCATCCAGGCTATGGCTAACGGCCCTATTTTATCTGAAGCATAAATACTGAAATAAAGAATTGTTTAGGTGTCAGCCTTTGTTCAGTGCTGATACTATTCCTTTGGAATTAGAAAGTTAGAATTCAAGATCCACTCCTCCAATTTCAGAATGTACGTTAGGCCTACACAAATTGTGGCCCCAAAGGTGCATACTTGTGTAGTGAGGAAGGTTAATGGGACCTTAGCTTCCCAACTACTAAATGTGGAGTGAGGCCAAATGCAGGGTGCTGCTGCTGATTGCAGGCCATTTCACGACTAGGGGCAGGAGATCTCCAGCAGTTGAGGTCAGAAAGGTACCAGGAAATTGGCCAGCCCTGAGGGCCCCTAAAGACAGAAAAAGAAGTTCGCAACAAGCTGGGGTGGAGCTAGAGACCAGGCTGAAGAGAAAGTAGTGGAGCTGGAGTCCAGAGCCCAGACTGAAGAAGCATCTGGAGCAGAAATTTCATGAAGACACAGGCAAAACAGAGCAGCTAGAAGCTGGCGACAGAGTGTAGCAATGGTAACTGACATACCCAGGGTTGTATATATAGCAGACCAAGGCCTCCGTTGGTGGCTAGGGAGCTGGGAAGTGCCAGTGGGGTGAGTTAACAGCTGGATGGCCCTACCTGTTTCACCTTAGGCCATGAAGAGAAAACATCACAGTTTTCTTCAGAGAAACATAGTAAACAGGAGCTGGAGCAGACCATTCAGCCTTTTGAGCCTGCTTTGCCATTTCATGTGATAATTCTGAACATCCACCTCAGTACCCTGCTCACCATATGCAACCGCAGGAAGTGCTACACCTGCCCCCATACCTCCTCCCTCACCCCCATCCCAGGCCCCAAGAAGACTTTCCACATCAAGCAGATGTTCACCTGCACATCTGCCAATGTGGTATACTGCATCCGCTGTACCCGGTGTGGCTTCCTCTACATCGGGGAAACCAAGCGGAGGCTCGGGGACCGCTTTGCAGAACACCTACGCTCGGTTCGCAATAAACAACTGCACCTCCCAGTCACGAACCATTTCAACTCCCCCTCCCATTCCTCAGACGACATGTCCATCCTGGGCCTCCTGCAGTGCCACAACAATGCCACCCGAAGGTTGCAGGAACAGCAACTCATATTCCGCTTGGGAACCCTGCAGCCCAATGGTATCAATGTGGATTTCACAAGTTTCAAAATCTCCCCTCCCCCTACCGCATCCCAAAACCAGTCCAGCTCGTCCCTGCCTCCCTAACCTGTTCTTCCTCCCACCTATCCCCTCCTCCCACCTCAAGCCGCACCTCCATCTCCTACCGACCAACCTCATCCCGCCCCCTTGACCTGTCCGTCCTCCCTGGACTGACCTATCCCCTTCCTAACTCCCCACCTACACTCACCTTTACTGGCTCCATCCCCGCCTCTTCGACCTGTTTGTTTCCTCTCCACCTATCCTCTCCTCTATCCATCTTCTATCCGCCTCCCACTCTCTCCCTATTTATTTCAGAACCCCCTTCCCCTCCCCCTTTTCTGATGAAGGGTCTAGGCCCGAAATGTCAGCCTCTCTGCTCCTATGATGCTGCTTGGCCTGCTGTGTTCATCCAGCCCTGCACCTTGTTGTCCCCATATGCTTTGATCCCTTTACCCGAAGAAGTGTACATAACTTCTTCTTGAAAACATTCAATGTCTTAGCCTCACCTGCCTTCTGTGCCACAGGCTTATCACTCTCTAGGTGAAGAAATTTTCTCCTCATCTCAGTTCTAAATGGCCTACTCTGTATCCTAGACAGTGACCCCTTCTTCTGGACACCCTGGCCATTGGGAACATGCTTCCTATGTTTACTCTGTCTAGTCCTGTTTTAAGTTTTGTAGGTTTCCAAGAGATCCCCCTCCATTCTTCTAAACACGAGTAAATATTGTCCTAACCGATCCAGTCTCTCTTATAGCACAGGTATAAGCCAGCCCAGGAGTGATTCTGGTAAATGTTCATTCCTCTCCCTGCATAGCCAGAACATGCTTCTTCTGATAAGGAGACTAAAACTGCACACAGTCCTCCAGGTGGGGGTCACCAATGTTCTGTATGATAGCAGCAAGCCATCCCTTCTCCTGTACCCAAATCTTTACATTTATGTTGAGGAGATATGACAATCTGGGTTATATATAATTGGGAAACTAGTGTCAGAGCTCAACCAGTGAACTCTGCTATCCGGTTATTTAGGGATCGGAGGTTAAACTGTCGACAATGTCTAGCTTACTCTAGTGCATCAGCTGTAAATATCCTTTGGAACTTGTTTATTTCTCTAAATTAATATTTCGCACTAACATTTATGGCAACCAGAGGGGAAGGAAGAGAGATTTTTTTTTTAAAGCCATATTTTTTTTTTCTTAAATGGACTCTTGCTGAATTCTATAATGGCTGCTATTGAACACAGAATGAACAAGTTGACTGCTTCCCAAAATGTCCAGCAATCGCCAGGTCACAAGTGAAAGCTTTACCTCCTTGAATCTAACATTTGTTGCATTTTATGAACATTCCAGCTAAGCCGACACAAGGGACTAGTAGATGAGGTGTCTACCTCACCCAGTTCTGAATAAAGGAGACTATCAAAACCCAAATGACCCCACAGTTATCTGCTACAAAATACAATGGTTTCTGATGAGGGGACATCAAATCCACCTAATTCACTGAGTGTCTCAACTTGAAGCTCCAGTCATGTGACTGGAACTGCTGGTTTCTTTAAATCATCTTAAACTATATAGCTTTATATTTTGTTTGTCTGTCTGCTTATAGCTCTAGAATTATAAACAGCTCCATGCTTGTCTAAATACCTGCCTTTGATCTCAATATCACTCAAAATGTTTTTCTAAAAAGAAGCCCATATTTTACCTACGGAGCCAATTCCCAGTTTGTAACATTTTCACCAGCAATTGAACTGTGACTGAGCGCCTACAAAAGGAGACTTCTCAAAAGAGCCCGAAAGAACATCAGCTGTATGTTAACTTGCTGGACTCTCTAATCCACATGAACTAATGATGGATTGAATTTTAAGCAATTTGTAATGTTACCATTTTTCCTTTCCTTTTCTTTCTCTTTGTTTCTTGGATGTGTGTATGTCTGTCTGTGTGTGAGTGTGTGTGTGTGTGTGCATGTGTGCATGCGTCTGCGTGTGTGCGTGTGTGTGTGTGTGTGTGCATGTGTGCATGCGTCTGTGTGTGTGTGCATGCGTCTGTGTGTGTGTGTGAGAACTATTCCCACATGGAGTACAGTAACAATCCCTGATTTGTTTTAATCCTAAATTTGTTTTAAATCTTAAAAACTGCTGTGGGTCACTCGATATTGGGAAACATGCCAAAGGTTGTTTTTGAAAGGAATAAAATGAGAGAAGAACAATAATTTCCTCCGTTATGGACAGAAGAGAACAGTTTTAGAATAATTCAATTCATCTCTTCCTCTTGTCTGGGACATTTATGAAGACTCAATGCCAGTGGAATAAGCAATCTCTGTTTTAAAATCTTCTTACAGTCTGTCTACTTAAGCCTCATATTACTGCTGGAATAATTACAATTAAACAAAGGCATTAATGAGTAGAAGAGTGGAGCTTAGAACCATTCACTATAGCCTGGTATTAGGTTTCAGACTTGAAATTGCTTCCTAGGATCATACTGGTATCTAGACATGAACACCTTCTGTATAAGCGCAAGACTATTTAAATTCTTTACTGGGGATGCTGTTCTACTTTGGCTTAGATTTTCTGGCCTTATACGATTGTAGTTGAGATGACAACTATCCCTGTACATGTCCTTGTCACAGAAGAGGAGGGGAGATTATAACATTATTGTCACAGGCTTTACCAAGAGTTATTTGACAGAAACCTGATTCACCTTGCACCTGGAATGATTACACTAAGACAGAAGCGGTATTATTGAGCAGAAGGATGGATCTTATGAGCATCAACAATAACCTGATGAACTAGATCTAGAACTAGGCCAACCTTATTCCCAGAATCTGTTGTACCTGATAGTTGGCAATTGGCTTTTTAAAAATGGAAACTTCTAAGATTGCATTCAACTTTGAGACTATGTGTGAAGCTATATTTTAAGTTAATTGTTGCATTTCTTTCAGGGTGCTGTGATTACGCCCACAATGGACCACACTATGTCCATGCAGCCAGCCAGTATGATGGGACCTTTGACCCAGCAGATGAACCACCTGTCACTGGGCACAGCAGGAACAGTGAGTATTGAGATATGAAGTCACTTCATATGAAACATTACATCTTCTAAAAAGATATCTTGCTTTTAACTTGAGGAATATTATTTAAAACGTGTACTGTACAGAACACAATTAAGTCAATTGGAAAAAATTACGAGTTGGATTTTGCCCTAGGCACTAATGATAAAAAAATGAGCTAAAGTGCCAAGGGGCTTTCATTAGTTATTGTGACCAGTCTTCATTTTTCTCAGACTAATAAAGGCATATCAAGACGAGCGAAGTCAAACTGTTTATTGGACCAACAAAAACAACTTGCATTTATATAGCAGTGAACATAGTAAAATATCCCAAAGGTGATTCACAGGAATGTTATCAAACGTAGAAGAAAACATTAGGACAATGCTTGAACAAAGAGGAAGGTTCAAACGCTGATTAAAGATTATAAAGACACTGTTAAAGGGATATGTTAAGAAATGCACGTTGTTATGTCCAAGTAGACAGCAAAAACAAGAGGAGGGGTTGTAATCGTTCTAGGTCAGGGGATTACTTGGTAAGTACAAACTGCCGGTGTGTCAGGAAGCCAGCAGAAACTATCCAACTTACATCTCCAAGCCAAGTGCATTGTGCAGTGCACAAGGAACCCCTGTAGGACAGGCAGATCCACCATTTAAATGACCTGTTGTTTTAACACTGGATTCAGATGTTAACTTTGTGTGCATGGGTGTTCTGGGCCTAATGGAACTTGGCAATAGAGCTGCCTCCCTCTCATTGGGTGACAGTTCTTGGTGGGTGGGAAATCCACCCTGCATTCTTTGGTCGTCACTGGCCTTTCAGGTGCCTGAGTGAAAGAAGATGTTGGTAGGTGAGAGCCCTGTTCCCTCCACAAAATTCCCCCCAGTGATTCAAAAGACTTGACAAGGCTATTTTCAACTTCTTTTGGGTGGAAAACCTGAGGCAGTGGATCAGCCATCCCGTTTCAAATTGGTACAATCCAATGAATTCAATGGGTGGAAAATTAGATGAAGTGTATCATGGACAGCCGATCCAAATGGTAAGTTTTCTGAGTTGACTGAAGTTGAATATTATCACAGCGATATTTTTGTAGTCAAGTGGAACAAAGCAATGTAAAGAAATTCATCACAACACTTTAGAGGATGGAGTTGGAAAAGGAACTTGAACCAAAAGATGGGATTTCTGATGAAGTAGTAACTGCTACCACCAGGACAGGGGATGGATGAACAGTAGCATTCCCAGAGGTTTTCTAAGCTGTGGGTTTGGCAAATGACTAGAAAGGATAGGTGCTCCTGGAGCAGGAGGGCAGCTGCTGGCACATATCATTTCAATAAAATTGAGGCCAAAAGCTCCTACAGTGGGTTTTACAGAGAGTTGGGCACAAATAATGTTGATGTAGAATATTTTTGATCAAGGCTCAGGTGGATTTCAAGAAAGTACATATCTGTGTGAATGGAGGCGAGGGCAAAACATCCTCTGTCATCAGTGATGCAAATAGTTTGAACTCCCGGACCTCATTTCCATCTCACAAACTCAAAACTAGGCCTTACAACTGCCTGCTGGTACTGTGTTAAATCGATTACCTTGTTGAATGGAGAACAGGCTTGAGGGGCTAAGTGGACTATTCCTACCCCTGTCTTTTATTCTGTGTTTTTTGTAATAAATGTTATCACACCAACAAAGGCAGATTTTCATGTCTTCAGCCTGCCCACAGCTTCCTAAATATGCCAGTCAGAATTCCATAAGACCATTAGAATCAGGAACAGGAGGACACCATTCAACCCCTTGAAAGTGCTCCACCATTCAACAGGACATTGGCTGATCTGACGTTCTTCACATCCAGTTTTGTGCCATTTCCCCATAACACTTGATTCCCTGACTGATCAAGAATCTGATCTCTCTCAGCCTTAAATATACATAACAACTCTGTCCCCATAACTCTCTGTGGCAAGGAGTTCCAAAGATTCTCAACCCTTTGCGTGAAGAAAGTCCTCTTCATCTCAGTCTTAAATTGGCACCCCTTTATAATGAGGCTATGCCGTCTGGTTCTAGACTCTCCCGTGAGGGGAAACATCCTCTCAGTAATCACCCTGTCAAGCCCCTTAAGAATTCCACATGTTTCAATGAGATCACCTCTCATTCTTCTAAACTCCAGTGAGTAGTGTCCCAACCTGTGTAGCTCATAAAACAATCCCTCCGTACCAGGGATCATCCTAGTATGGTGGTGATTCAAGACCAGAGGGCGTATGTTTAATTGGAGGAGTGAGTGGTTTAGAGGAGATCTAAGGGAAAACATTTGCACCCAGAGTGTGGTGGAACATGCTGCCTGAGAGGCTGGTGGAGGCAGGTACTCTTGCAACATTTAAGAAGCATCTGGATGAGTACTTAAAATGCCCAGGGCATAGTAGGCTATGGACCAAGTGCAGATAAATGGGACAAATGTAGTTTGATGTTTGTTGGCCAGCATAGACATTATGGAGTGAAGGATATCTCTATGCTGTACGACTCTAGGAGATCACATTAGTATTTTTCCAGGTACCAGAGAAAATGAGATGAGGAAGAGAAGACCCCCTTTTACTTGTCCGAATAGTTCTAAAGTATCTTCAGTTTCTGTGGACAGGGCCTTAGCTTCCTCCAGATAGGCACGGAAATTGTGGAGCACTGTAAAAGGAATAGAGATTTGACAAAACAAGTAATCTGCGCTATATCCCAAATTTTGCTCCGAATTTTCTCAGAAGTGACTTTTTTTAACCATTGTCACACTGCCAAAGTGGACAGGAACTTGCATTTATATATTGTGTTTATTTTAGTAAAGCATCGCAAAGCACTTCTCAGGATGTAATCAGCCAGCCGTAGACACTAAATGAAAGAAAGAGATATTAGAGCAGGTGAGCAATAGCTGAGTGAAATTGTCGGTGTTCAGGAGAAGTGAAAATTATGCTGTGAGTGTGTAGTTCATTGCCAATAAACCTACAGCTTTAATTGCAAAGTAGACACCAAGAGAATGGTACAAATTGTGCCCATGGGCTTTTTTGTTTCATGTGCCAGCTGAATGTGTGATTATGTCAAATGTATTTGTGCCACACTAACATTCAGAACATCTTAAAGGATCCTTATGTGTACTGAGATACACTTGGGGTTGCCACAAACAGCAGAGATGTGCTTCTATGTGCAACAAAAATCTCTGTATGGAAATGAGCAATAATTACTGCAGAGGGAAAAGTGATGTTCATTGGTCACCATAATTATAACAACTGCTTGATTCATGGTTTAGTGGTTCCGAACTGCACTGCTCCTACTTCAGCAATGACGGTGTTTAGTTTGCTTCTGCTCCAATGATTGTGGGGCACTCTGTTCCTAGGCCAGCAATGACCACATTCATTCTGTTCCTGGTACCAGCAGACACCACATTCACTGATGATTTGCCTCATTCTGACAGTTCTGTGCATTTCTGAGGGGGTCCTGGTCAGAATCTTCTCGCAGAAATGCAGAGCTCTTCTTTCATTTAAAAAAAAGCAAAGGCTGAAGTGGTAATCTGAATGATATTTACACTACTTGGAAAATCCAGCTCATTTTTTCTAAAGTGGAGTACAATAATCTCCAGGGAAGTTCATAGGAACATAGGAATTAGGAGCGGGAGTAGGTAATTCATCCCTTTGAGCCCGCTCCGCCATTTCACATGATCATAGCTGATCTTATCCTGGTCTCAACTCCACTTTCCTACATGCACCCCATCATCCTTTATCCTGTTTTTCATCTGGAACACCTTTATTTCATTGTTGAATCTGCTGATTGATTCTGTCTCCACTGCACTCTGGGCTGATGAGCTCCACAGATTTGCAACCCTCTGAGAGAAGTTGTTTCTCCTTGTCTAAGTTTTGAACCTACGTCCTCTCACTAAACCTATAACCTCTTGTTTGCGACAGTCCAAACAGGGGGACATCTGTTCAATGTCCACCTTATCAATCTCCTTTAGTGTTTTGTCAATCAGAGGCCCCTCCTCATTTTTTGGAATTCCAGTGAGTATAAACCCAAACTAATAAACCACTCCCCATATGATAGCCCTTTAATCCCTGGAATCAATCTGGTGAACCTCTTCTGAACTGCTTTCAGTGCCATCACATCCTTCCTCAAATAATGGGACCAAAACAGGCCATAATATTCCAGGAGTGGTCTCACCAATGCCTTATATAATTGTAACAACACTTCTTTACATTTATGATCCAGTCCTTTTGTAATGAATGCGAAGATTCTATCTGCCTTTCTCATTAAATACTGAATTTGAAGACCCACCTTCTGCGATTCATACACGCCGAGCCCTCTGCACTGGTGCACTTTGAATCTGGTTCCCATTTAAACTATAATGTGCCCTTTTATTTTTCTGGTCAAAATGTATAACCTCGTACTTATTCACATTGAACTTCATCTGCTAGATTCTGGCCCATTCTCCAAGCCTAGAATATCCATTTATAAACTCTTATATTCCTCATCACAGCCTGCTTTCCCACCTATTTTAGTATTATCTATGAACTTTGCTATGTTACACTCGATCCCTCCTTGCAGGTTATTTATATAAACTGTAAATAGTTGAGGTCTGAGAACTGAACCCTGCAGCACCCTACTATAGTTACAGTTCGTCATCTAGAAAAGGTCCCATTTATCCTGACCCTCTGCCTTCTGTCAGTCAGTCAATTCTCTATCCCAAGCCAAGACAAAATTCATCGCAGTGTTTCGGTTTTGAATAATCAGCTTTAAATTCCCGAGTGTCCCGTGAACAAATTTGGTTAGATGCACATGTGATTTGCTGAAAGGACGTTTTATATGTCTAATGAATTAAAATAGCTATCGCACTGAATTCAATTGCTTGTCAGCCAACGGCCTATACCTATTTTATAAAATAAATCCCTTAATAAGTACTTCTCCACACATGTTAAGTACTCTGGGTTCTGCAGGATTTGGAAACAAATGTGCATGTGCAGATGGATGTACCATCTCTGTTTTTCTGTCTC